ACAGTGTAAATACTTTCCTCCTTGCATTCCTCTGTCAACCTTCCTCTTAGACTGGGAGTCTCGTCAAGGCAGCTCAGCTTTACTATTCCTTATATTTCTTTAAAAAATGTTTTTATTATTATTTTATTCTACCTTTATGAGTGTTTCCCATGCATTTATGCGTAGGCACCACATCTATTCAGTGCCCTCAGAGGCCAGAAGAGGGAACTGGATCCCCTGGAACTGGAGTTAGTGGTGGTTGTGAGCCCCAACGTGGATGCTGGGAATCAAACTAGGGTCCTCTGGAAGAGCAGTTGGTGATTTTAACAGAGTCATCTCTCAAAACTCTCCCCACTCCCACTCTATTTATTTTGGTTTCCATGAGTTCACTCTATAGATGTGTGTGTAGTAATTGAGTGAGTAAAACACTATGAGTTTAAATCCCTGTTGTTTTCCTGTACTCAGGCATTCCTGCTCATTTCCCATTGTAAATACCCAATGTTTCTCTTCTGTATTTCCTCCTTGGATGTCATAGGTAATATCTTATTACCTTGTCACATTTCATGATTTTTAAGATGTGATCTCTCATGTAACTCTTACCTGGAAATGGTAATTCCTCATTCCTATGAGAAAGCAGACATATGACCTCCTCTGTCCTCACCCTGAATCCTACAACTGCTCTTAACCTTGCATCCAGGTTCTCAACCAACTCGGTCAATCATGTAGAATTTAGGAGCCAGAACTTCAGACAATGAACTCATGGCTTGGAAGCTTGTCCTGCATTCATAAACCCTGGATCCTTGTAAAATAAAAATAATAAATAAATAAAAGCCTTTGATATGGAACAAGGGAAAGGCTAGAAAGAGTAAGGTGAAATTCCCTAAGGGTAGAGTGGAGAAGGTTTTGCATATGAATGTGTGAATTTCAGCCATCTTAGTTCTGTTTATAGGGAGCTTTTTAAAACATTTCCTGTCCTGAGCTTTATGCAAACTAAGTATGCTTCACTTTCTCTCAGCTTTTTCATGATTATTCAATGTGAGTAAAACAGTGGAATTCATTGCCTAACAACACCATTTTAGAACATCATAAAGATATATTGTTCTGGAATGGGTATTGTGAAACTACCCCCTCTTCCTCATCCTTCATCATTTTAGTGATTATCATCCTCATCCTCATCACCACCATCATCTTCATCTGTTCTCTGCAGCATCAGCATCACCAATATCATAATCATCATTATCATCAGCATCAGCATAATTTGTGTCATTGAAGCATTTTATTCTTTTCAGATGACTCCCCATCTATTAAGTCATTTTCATCTTACCTGGCAGTACCAGGTAAGAATTAAATACACTTCTGTTACAGATATAAAAATTGAAGATAACTCAGATTGGTAGTTCCTTTTGTAGAATTCACAAATATAAGCAAAGATAGAAGGCAGCTAGCTACCTGTTCTGACAGCATTCAGGAAGTGGAGAAACTTTCTTTGGGAAATAATAAGGTAGAGTAATGGGGGGTCCAGGAAGTGAAGACCCCTGAAGGAACAGGAGTTGGAGTACCCAGAATAGGAAGGCTCAGATGGGAATTCCTAATATTATAGGAATGAGCAGCCACATTCATCTTCAGAAGTTTACTCTTTAAGCTTGTAGAGGACCCAGTAAACAGCCATACCTCTACTGATGTATAGTGTGTGTGTGTGTGTGTGTGTGTGTGTGTTTGTGTGTGTGTGTGTGGAGTTTGAGCTAGTAAATTTAAGATGCAGTGTCAAGCCTTTTGTTTCTTTCAGGTTTACAAAGATACTTTCAAACTGAAATGAACACAGTAGCAATTATACTACAGTATTCAAAAGGATGAATTCTTTTCTCATTTAGAAGCACATGCAGTAGCCATGAATCATCCATTCCAGGGAAGGGAGGGGAACAGAGCATTAAATATAATTTATGCTTTGCTAATTGAAATCAAATACCAAGCTCAGTCTCCCTGGGAGTTGCCATGCTCACATTTAAATGGGGCAGAAGTATTATTAACCTGACTCTATGCTGGCAAGTTGGTTTAGCTTTTCTGGATAGATAATGATTCCTTCGCCAAGCCTTCACACTAAGGGATAAAACTCAGAGTCATTCACTCTGAGTCAGAAAGTCAAAGGAATAGTAGCCACTGAAGAAGTCAGACCTTAAATATATCAAATTTGCATTTCTTTTCAGTATCAGGACTCTTCAAATATATTGCCAAACGGAAGTTTTGTTTTGTTTTGTTTTAAGTCCTCTTGCTCTTGAGGCTTAGTGCTGTCCTTTTTTTTATACAGAATGGTATATAAATGACTTAAAGGGAGGGGTTTCCAGGCTTTTATTTCACAAGGAAAATGGTTTATTTACCTGTTAACCATATTAAAATGGGGTTGTCACCCTTATATGGAATATTTATGTAAGGACACAGACTTAGAAGCTATGTAGTTTGGAAGCATCACTTAAAGTGGGGATTTTATGGGCTTATGAGGACAGGCAGAGGAGACTGAAGAGCTTAATCAGATGTGTTGATCCAGAATGGGACAGAAGGGCTGTCTGGGAATGGCTACTCTTAGCCTATAAAATAATGTCTTTGGAGGTATTCTAGAACCAGACACATTATCCTTTGGCAGAGTTACTATGTCACCATAGCCTAGGTGCCACTGAAATCCCAACCAGAACACATTTCTGCAAGGATGGTGTATCCTTCCTTGTAAGGTTAAGAAACCCCTGTGAACCCTTTCCTTGGAAGTAAATATCATAAAATCATGAATGTGGGTGAGAGCAAGGAAGAGAGCACAAAGAAACATAAGGCTCCACTTCCAAATCCCAGTTTCCTTAAGAACATTTCTGAAAGGACCAATTCCACCACAGATCTAGTATAGGGCTTAAGAAGCAATGTCCATATATCCTTGTCCCTTCCTTCCTTCCTTCCTTCCCCCTCCCTCTTCTTCCTTCTTTCTCCCTTCCTTAGCTCTCTCTCTCTCTTCTTCCTTTCTCTACATTCCCCTCTCTTTCCCCCTCCTTCTTACTTATGTATTTACTTAGTTTTACCCACTATCCCACTGTGTGACATAGACTGGCCTCAAAGCCCCGAGGTTGCCTCTGCCTGGACTGCTATAGTTAAGGTGTCTTCCACTACGCTTGGCTTGGACATACCTTTTGTATAAAATATACAAGTGATGCGGTCAGGGCTGACACTCACTTCTATTTTGTTCTGCTCACAGAGCAAGACCCACATCAGCTTCATGAAGTCTATCCTCTCTACATGTGTGCACCCCTCCTTTAAAAATGTGAGTGCTTGTATTTTGATCTGTATCTTTGTTTACTTTGGCATATCTGTTGCCTTCAGCTCAACTTTCCTTATCTGGAAAATTTATTTGTGCAGCTGTTTTTGAATCTGACTTATCAGTCTATCAATCATGGGATGATGAATATCTAGTACCTCTTTCCTCTGTTTGTGTGACGGAAGGAAACATCCCGCCCTGCACAAGGAATCTCCCAATGACTCAGGACTCTGCTAGTCTTCAACAAAATCATTCCTTGCATTTCAGTGTAGGGATAGTGGTGGAGAAGAAGTGACCAACACAAATACACCATCAAAACCCATCAATCAGGTTGCATTAAGCTTTATAACAACACAGTTTCCATTTAGTGGGAGAAATGACAGTTTAATAACAGCTGAACAGATTCAACTCTCCCCACTCATACAAATTTCCAATTTTACTACAATTCCTGGCTTTGGAGATCTGTGAACAAGTGCTTTATGTCAAATGCTGTGTTTTAATTGAACCATACTAATGGGAAGGGACACTTTATTTGGCAGCCCTTGAAAAGGATGTCTGCAGACAGTCCTTGCCCTCCCCCACCCACTTCACACTGCAAAACAGCATTCTTGCCAATGGCCCAATAGATGCCATCTCTGAGTAGAGAAAATGAACCATGAGGTGACCCTGAGGGGGCAGTGGTGAGACAAATAGGAAAACATTGAGTGCTCCCTTCCTCTCTGCAACTAGAAGGGTTTTACTCAGAACAACTAACAAGCAAGCTATGGTCTTTGTCTCTAGGGCAGAGCCTATCCCTAGAGCATGCCTCAGGACCAAGATCATTAGGGAAGAGGATCTTTAGGTAAGGGGCCTCCCACCTGGAGGACTGGGTTTTTCCTTATTACCCCCACTTACAGGCATTGATCTTTGCCAACTGCAGGGCTTAAATCATAGCTGCTGTCTCCATGATCTAGAAGCATTCAAGTGGGTCAGATTCCAATGTGAGGATGTGTGTTATGCCCCATAATTTAGAACACTCATGATGAGAGAGACCTATCTTGGATGGCTCTCAGATAGAAGGCTCCAGGGGTGTAGGCTATTTTTTGGTAAGGAACATACGTGCATGCCTTTGCCTTCATATTGTGGGGAGGGAGAAAGTCAAAGGGTGGTGGGATAAGGCCTTGATGGGAAAGCTAGACAGGCCTTGGAGGGAGGATATTACTCCCTGGGAGTCTTGGAGCTCTCAGCCACAAATAACATTCTGGAGAGATGCCAGAGCAGAAGTTTACGTACCAGGGATTAAACACAAGGCTAGAATCCAGACTCCCAAGACTACAGTAAGAGCTCCTGCAAAGAACATCGTCCTTCCTTCCTTCCTTCCTTCCTTCCTTCCTTCCTTCTTTCTTTCCTTTTCTCTCTTTCTTATTGCCACTCATCAACATCATAGCATATGTCTGTGAAACTGGAAGATGTTTATCCTGTTTTCAGACTCCATTAACTAGTAGAAGATGAGTAATTTGTGGTGGATTCTGGTGGACATCTGGTCAACCAGGTACAGTTGGTTCATATACAGGGATGCCATGAGATCTACACCTTTGCCTAAGCCCACAACATTGGAGGTAACCTGAATGGATGAGGTTGGCAATCTACTTGGCACTCCAGATGGCTGAAGCTTCAGAACCTGGGGGATTTGGGACTCTGGTAAAGAGTATCCTTGCTATTTATTAGCCTTCCCTCCATACTGCCAGCCTCACTTATCACCCTCTTCCTGTTCCCACTGAAAGTCTTGACCAGTCATTTGGTAAAACATCATGTTGAAGGGTTTGTAGAATTTCCGAAGTCTGTGGATGACATCTGGGTCAATGCGGGGATGAGTCCGACCTTTGCTCTTGCCCAAACATCTTGGAGCACTGCTGTCTTCTGGCTTCTTCAGGCAGGGGAATCCCTTGGTTTTGTTGAAGTAAAAGTGCTTCTCAGTCACAACACGCTTGAGGCCTAGGAAATCCTGTACTTTGGCCATCTCCCCTGCTGGGTCCACTATGAGTCGCTCACCACTGACAAACAGGATCTGAGAGAGGGGAAAGTACTGCAGCCAGTTCTCCAGGTGCAGAGCATAGATCCCAATGCGAATGGCACTCCAGGAGGCATCAATCAGCCCCAGGGTCCGGTTTTTGAAGGCCAGCACCTCAAAGGTAGGGATCTCTGGCTTCTTTGACAGTGTCTGGGTGTAGTCAGAAATGGCCCTGGTCACTGGATTTCGTACCACCACAATGAGTTTGATGTCCTTGGCCATAGAGTGAATGCGCTTGGGAGCCTCATTAGTCACAAAGTAACTGGGGGTCTTCTCCATGGTTATCTGCCCATCCAATGTCTTGGGCATCACATTTCTAGAAGAATGAAGAAGGGGGAAATACAGTGATTATTACTATATCCAAGATATTTGAATACCTTTGCACAAATTCTTTGCAACACATAATCAAGGTAGGAGCCACCAAATAGAAAAGGTAAGCACTGGAAGTTCTCTTTATATTTATGTCCCAACTGTAGGCATGACTCTGCAATTATCAGAAAATAGAGCATAAGGCTTATGCATTAATCCTTGGGAGTCTTGTATCCCTAGGTTTAAACTGCCTTTCTACCTCTTACCAGTTGTATTTAACCTAGATATGCCCTTAATTTCTTTATATATTAGTTTTATAATCTCTGAAATGGAGGTAATGACAGCACTGACTTCACACTGTAGTGCGAGGATTAAGGGAGATAATGTTTGAAAAGCATTTAGTATGGAATCTCATGTGTGCATGAGCTTAACAAATTAAGGGTTTTATTATTGTTGTAGTAGCTTTCAGGGAATGTTTGAGCTCAACAAGACCTCAAAGATTATCTGGACCAGGGTTGGCAAATTCTCACTGCCTCTTGTTTGTGTGGGAGTCTCAGTTAAGAAGGATGTGTAATCTTTAAATGATTGTGGGAAAAAAACCCAAATGATAGTAATAGTAGCATTGTGTGATACATGGAAATTAGGCAGAATTTAAATTTCAAAGCTTATAAATAAACCTTCATTGGCACACAGACACACTTACTCATTTACATATTGTATATGTGCTGCTTTGGTACAATAGACATCAAGAGGAGTTGGTGCAACAGGCATGTGGCCCACAGAACCTGAAATATGCATTATTTTACATTTTAAGCAGTTTTTCCTGAACCCAAACTTAGTCTAAAAACATTGTATAAATGATGAAATTGAAGCCCAGAGATAAAGAATAGGCAGACATCAGACAAACTCTGTGTTCTCAGAAAACTTAAGCAAATCCCTGGGCCATGACATCTTCATCATAAAGTCCTAACACTCACCTTAAGTTCATTTGAGAACAAAGTGACACATAAAATGCAAGCATAGTCTGTGTACAAGACACACAATTTTCTTCTTTCTTTGCTTACAAGTTTGCCTTGTAAAATTCTCATGAAGCCTGTTCTAGCTGTGATATTTAATAACCTCCCAAAGCCATATGTTAAAGGCTTTGTCCCCAGCCTGGGTAGGGTGCTGGAGTCTTTATGGTGGAGCAAAGGACTACATTTGTTTTCCAGCAACCACATTGTGGCCCCTAATGATCTGTTTACAATTCCAGGAGGCCCACCACCCTCTTCTGACTTCAGCAGGCACCAGGCATGCACACAGTGCACAAACATACATGCAGGCAACAGCACACAAACATATAAAATGAATACATCTAAAAGCAATTTTCTTTAAAGAAAGGGCATATTAAGACTCCCCCTCACTTTTAAGTCTTGGCCACTTGGCCATGAGGTGAACAGGCTTCCTCTACTATATATACCTTCTATGATAAACTATGTTGCCATAGCCCCAAAACCAAGGAGGCAAAGCAACCATGGATTGCAATCTCTGGAACCAAAAATAATAAATCTTTCTTCCAAGTTGATTGTCTTGGGTTTTTGTTTTTGTTTTTAATAGTAACAGAAGGCTGCCAACTAACACCGATCCCACACCACAATTCCTGTCTACTGGTTTCCTTGACAAAAACACTTTCCATCTCCTCCCCTCCATCCACATATTCCTTCAGGGAGGGAATTGATGCCACTACCACCAGCCCAATGCAGAGGTCCAACCAGTGATTAAAAATGAGGCTTAGGATCTTATTATGCAGTCAATTTGCTGTAGGCATATGTAGACCAGTGCTAATTGAGGATAAACATGTTCAATACTTGATGGTACAGTGGGCCATCTGCCACCAGGTACTCCATTAAATCCATTCACTTCTAAGCCCTGCACTAAAGTGGTACATTCAGGATTACACAAGACCTCTTTGTTATGATGACATGCTTTTAAATGTCTCAGCTAATAAAACTTAATACAGACGAAGATCCCTTAGCCTCTCCTACCATAATTAAATTTATTTACTATCACTTGTGTGGAGAAAGACTGACTTCTTTTATCTCTAATTCACATGCTCTGTCAATAATTAATTGCTGTTGGGTTTTGAGCTTTCACAGCAAGCTCTTTGATTAAACAAGAGGAATTTGCCTGGTAGAAATATTTGCTAGTACTAGAACTTGCTAGAGTACACTGGTTAGGCAGAATTCAGTTTTCAGATCACAGCCCAATGCATGGGCATAAGTAATCATGTTTGTTTGGGAGTGGCATATTTTCATAATATCTGTGTGAGTGTGTGTGTGTGAGTGTGTGTGTGTGTGTGTGTGTGTGTGTGTGTGCGCGCCAGTTTAAGCTCACTAACTGTCCTGGTCTCATCTGCAAGGGTGAGGCTAAGAAACAGCCTTTGAGAGTAGACCTCCCTAATCTGGTAACCTGAAAGATCTGATGACCTTGGAGGTCTCACCGGATCCCCTATTCTGAATGTCATGGCCTCACATAAAAGATGGAGGTAATAAAACTCCGTGTTCACAGGACTGAGATGAAGACTAAATGTGATAATGCAGGTGGATCACTTAGGATGGTACCTCATGAATGCCAGAATCTTATTTTCACTTAAGCCAGCTGTCTAGGATCATTTTCAGAGCAATTCTTACAGAAGGGCAGAGGAAAAGAAATTACATTTGACTGAATGGAAAAGCTGAACTGAGAGCCTGATCTAGAATAAGGCAAATTGTGATTCAAACCAATGTCGGCAACTGTACTTCTTGATCTAAAGGCTGGTGGCCAACCAGGAAACTGCACTTAGCTTTGACTAGGTACAAGGAATAAACTCAATCCTGTTTCTATTCCAGCCAGAGAGATTACTTCTTTATCAAATTACAGAGCTCATACCATATTATAAAGATATTAAATAAATGCTGGTGAAAGATAACTTCCTTAAAAAGTGTTACTTCCACATGGATTCTCCCTGATTTTGTTCCCTGAGCTGAGTTTTTGCATCTTTGTCTCATTTCACTCTTCCCCAGTACTGAAGCAGCTGTGCAACTCCTCTTATCCATTCTTTGTATTCACTCCTTAAACCTCAGTGCTTACTTTACTTTAAGTCCCATTCAAATTCATCTCCTCTACTTCAGCTAATTGACAATCTGTCAAGATCCTTGTGGATCTTGAATCTTTTATCCATGGCATCTGGGATGGAGTAGTTCCCAACCTATAAGCCAGCGGATACAGGAGCATGACTACATGCCCAGCTCAGCATTCGATGCAAAACAAAACAAAACAAACAAACAAAAAAACAGGCAGGGACACTGAAGAAAGCAGAGGGCAGACGTGGAGTCTCAGTGGCTCTGATCATCTTGCTGCAGGTGAGTGTGACAAGCTTGTAATTCGAGGGCATTCCCACAGCTGGGCACCCATGGCAAGACTGGAACACTGAATTAAGTTCCAACAGTTTCTTTGTCAAGGAGAAAATTTCCAGTGGCTTCTCCCAGTCTATGAAATAGTCAGTCTATCCTCTTTTAAAACTCATCCTTTCAGTCACTCACTCATTCATTTATTCACTTCATAAATGATCATTTACTAGTAATATCACAGTGAATAAAGCAAATGTGGAGCATGCAACCTAGCTGTGACTTCTGACAAATGAAAAGAGTATTACAATGGCATGTAATTAGCTGTTTTAACCAACAGAGTGTGTATCATTACTATTCCAGTTCTACAGAGGAGGAAACAGACTTGGGATTTAAGGTCTCACTGAGTGTGTGTTTTGTTTCTAAGTGCAACAGTTAAGTAATTAATTCAGCAGTAATTTCTGTGACTTTCTCATGAATGACTACCAAGTCATTGATTTGTTCTCTGAAGCCGAGGCCAGTCCTGGGACTAGTTTTTTTGTTTGTTTGTTTTTGAAACAATCTTATTTTACATATCAATCCCAATTCCCTCTCCCTCCCATCCCCCCTTCTGGTCCCCAGGGAGGGTGAGGTCTTCCATGGGGGATCATCAAAGTCTGTCACATCATTTGGGGCAGGGCCTAGGCTGGGACAGGTTTTATTGCATTAAGTTTTGTTGTTGTTTCTCCTTCCCAGATCTCTAATCTAGAACTCCATTAAGGCAACTATTTCTGGCCTATCCTGGTCTCCTTTTCTGATAACCCTGCAGGAAGAAGGCCTGGGGTGTTTGCTCAGATTCTAATATGTTTACCACTGAGCAATGAGGACCTAAGTTTGACTCCCAAGGACCCATGTTTATAAAAAGCTGGGTGTGGTGGTACATGCTTATACTTTTAACACCCAGGAGGCAGAGACAAGCATAGCCACAAGAGGCTTGCTAGCCAGTCTGCTTAGCTTACTTGGGAAGTTCCAGACCAATGAAAGATTGTCTAAAAAGACAAGGTAGGTGGCTCCTGAGGAAGAACAACTGAGATTGACTTCTGGAATCCACAGACACAGGTGCACATTCATGTATATATAACACACATGCATACACAGAGGGGAGAGGGGGGTGAGAGAGGGAGGAAGAGAGAGGGAGAGAGAGAGAGGGAGGGACTGAAGAGGGCAGTTCTCTTATTAGATATGACAAACTTCCACCTAGTATTAGAATCTTATCCTTCCCACCTTCTTGAATCCTTTCACCCCCTAAAATTTTTAGTTTTTAATTAAGTTCTTCTCAGCTGGCTCTGATATTTCAATACATCCATGTTCTCACACTATGGTGTACGAGAGAAACAGGAGAAAGGCCAGAGATGCTGGAGGAAGTTAGACAAAGTAGGAGAGTTAGAAAATAAGATCAGGAAAGATGGGTGGGGACCAAATCCTGGAGGGCCTAACTGATCTAAGGAGGGCATAGGATTCTTCTGTATATTACAAAAATCCATTGAAGAGCACTGAGCAGGAGACTAGAGAATAATTTACACTTAATTATCTTTTCTGGCTGTTTTCTGAGACCAGAGAAGAGAGTGTAAGTGTCAAAGGTAGCACCCTCAGAAGCTA